GGTCTCTATTGGATGGATTACAATTCAATTTAAGGTGGACAGATATGGTCTCTGTTGGATTTGGTGACTATGTCACCCCTCCCACTGTCTCCGAGGTGGTCCTGGCCTACTCTTGATGATGACTGGTTGACAAGGGAGGGTTATAAGCCACTGCAGTTATCCTGGGGCTTCCAGGTTGTAAAAGCTGGCCTAGATGAATTGCTGTCTGTCTAGTTCACTCAACCTTTTTGGTGTTTGTGGTGGTTTATGTTTGATAAATTATCTTTTAATGAAAAATAACATCTTGTGTGGATTTGTTTCTTTTCACACAAGAGTTCACAGGACTTTGGAATCCTGTGAAAAACTAAGTACTCCACATAATACAATAACATGTAGAACCACTTGTAGCAATAACTTGAAGCCACTGCGTTACTTTATCAGTCTGTCGTATTGTCGTAGAGGAGTTTTTTCTTTACAACATTACTTCAGTTCATGGAGGTTTGCAGGCATTTGTTTATGAACAGCTTTCTGAAAGTCCTGGCATTTCAATCAGCTGAAGTCTTCACTTTGATTGTGCCACTGCAGCACATTGAGTCTTTTCTCCTTCAGCTATTCTGTGTGTTTGGGATCATTGTCCCATTGCATGACACAGTTTCAGCTAAGCTTTAGGTGTTGGACAGATGGCCTCACATTTGACTCCAGCATATTTTGCTACTCATGGCAAAACATGTCATAGACACGCTGGTCCACCTCATTCAATTCACCCTTTACTAGCTTAATCGTTTCTGCTTTTTAAGGACTCTGGGATGCACTTTTTATGTTTTTTGCTCACTACCGACGTCTTGGCTTTAAATATATTACCTCTGTCTGCTGGTCTCTTCTAGATGCGTCTCCATTTCATGTTTTGGAGAGGCAAAGTGTGAAATAGACACGAGGAACGGGCATGTCTATAACACGTTTTGCTGTGATACTGGGTTGTCAGGTCATACCCCAAACATCACCCCTCCACCACTGCCTGACAGTTGGTAGGAAGTGTTTGTGCTGATTTGCTGACACGGTGCTGTGCATTAAGCAACATTGTCCCAGAAATTATGTCTTTTGTTCAGATGCAACTTTGAAAAGCTAAGCAACGCTGGCATGTTCTTTTAGGAGAGATGAGATTTTCTCCAGCCCTTCCAAACAAGCCTTGCTAGTTCAGCCTTTTTCTGTTATACTGTCATTAAATTTAACCTGCAAACTAAGATCTGACCCAAATGTAGACGTGGGTTTTTTGTAGTTTCTCTGAGTATTGTCTGACCTTTGGGCTAGTCTGCTGGGATGTCCACTCCTGGGAAAATTGTAGTACTGTGTTAACACACACCAAGATGCTCCACACTAACAAAATGCCAAAACTAGTGGTCACACTTACTGATAATCAGTTAATTAAGTGCATTTAATTAGCAGGACCTAGCTGCTACTGACCCTCAGTTACTGCTCAGTAATGATGCTCTTTATTTTTCATGGGACTACGAATAAAACTTTCTTTTTCACATGATTGCAGCTTGAGCCAGTTTGTGAAAGTGAGCTCCTTGACCACTCATCTTAAATCATTTTTTTATAGTTTAAATTTGTCTCACTTTGGAAAAGCAAGTGGGCATCAGTATTCAGTTAATGCTCAAAATATGCAGATACATAAACAGATATTGGCATGTCCATAAGCAGTAGAATCAATGTTTACATGCTGAACAGATGGCTGGAGCATAACAGACTTGTAATGCTATTAATTTAATATTTGCTTGACATTTTTGCTGCAGACGTGAACACGCAGTGTGGACTTTGTCCTTATGGTGAGTTATCCATGGTATCAAAACAAATAACTCTTGCTGCTCATTAATTTTATCATGTGAAAAGCTTTCAAATCAGATTTTTTTTTAATTTTTAAATTTTGAATTATTGCCTTTATAAATTTGTGGAATGTTAAAATTAACCATGAAGTCCTTGAAGATACTGAAAACAGTAGCATGAGGTTTTCGCTTGAAGGCAGTGATACTCTTTAAACGTTTCTGTAGTGGTTTGGGGGACAAAAAATATAAATAAATAAATAAAAAAACCCAGGGGAAAAAAACAAAACAAATGCGGCATTCCTGGACAAAAATAGATGGTCTTTTTATTACATCTATGAGCAGGGCAGGCTGTTTGCTTAAGGGCATGGGGAAAACTTTGACATTTAAGACCAACATTCCCATGATTCACATTATGTGGTTTGTCTGGTAGATTTACTGGAAGAGATTAGGATAAACTGCTATATAAGGAATAGTTGGAGATTAAAGACAAAGAAAACTAGAGAATAGAGGCCTAGTGAGACAAGGGGACATAATAGAAAGTCATGCCTTCATTATCATCATTATCTGCTGTTTTCCTCGGATATGTCATGTTTAAACATCTACGGATACTGTATGTAAACCCTTCTATGTGCTTCTGCAATTAATGAGCAGATCAGAGGGAGCTCACGGTGAAAGATTGTCTAACAGAAATTAAAAAGATGAGTCAGTTACGTTTTCTCAGTGTGTGCACGGTGATTCTTTTCTTATTCAGCTCGCTGTAGCTGCTGCTGATTAAAAGAGGTTGCAGCACACGGGTGACTCCAGCTACTGTGGCAGTCTTGCACAAATTTGACAGCCAATTTATTTTGCTACAGTCTTTTAAAACACCCGTGTGAAATGCCACATTTAGATTGTAGTGGCTCTTTAGCTCTAAAACTTCATCACTGCATATTTTCAGGAATTTAGAGGTCTGGCATGTTTGCATGCTTTTATGAGTTATTAATATTTTGTTTATGAGCTTTGTCCTTTATGATAAATTTGCACACACATACTGTATTCTGTGTAATCTCCTGCAATCTACTTCTACTTTACTATTGTGGTATGATGACCTGTTATAGCTTGTTCAATAAACTCAGACAACACTGTAAAGACGGTGACTGCACTGACATTTTAAATTGAGCTTGATCAGTTTAAGAGACCTGACATAATCTGATCAGGAAGTCAAATTTGTACAGTGTTTAAAGCTCACATAAAACCATAAATCCTTTGATACTGAACTGAATTTTTACCTCACATGGTCGTAAATGTTTTTTTTTACACAAACAACTTTTACTTTGTCGGAGTGGGAGAACTGTAGCGAGCGCCACTCCTTCGTCGTGCCCTGACACTCGGGTCGCATGAAGTCATCCAGCAAACTCATGTTCTTCTTCTTCCTCCTCTGCTTTCTTGTCCTTCCCACGCACAGTGACTTAATCGCTAGGTCTGTACACAGCATTTCGTGTATGGCAGGTTTGTGTCTGCCACTACACTACCCACTCACTAAATCTCCCAGGGAGATGTGGTATGCACACACCTCCAGACTGGGGCTCCTTCCAAACTCACTGAATACTTTCAGCTAATTGCCCTCGCTTGGTGTGCTTCACAGTGATATGGTCAGCTCATCTTTTGCCCTTTTGGTGAATAATTCAATTTACTGGGGGCAGTTTTGTCTTATGACAAGACATGATTGTTTCAAATTTTTTGATTCAATTTGTTTTGCATTGGATTTAAGTAGGATAGATGACACAGATGGAAGGGACCTTTGAAAACTGCCACAGCATTTGGCGAGATAATGCCTACCTCCATCCTTTTTCGTGGCTTCTTTTATTCTTTTCCCACTCCTTCTAGAAGCTCTGCAATTAAGAAAGCCTTTAACTTTCAATCCTGATGCTTTTGTATAAAGTCTTTGTTCTGCTGCCACATCAACAGCAGCAGTAGTGGGAGGGACCCTTAAATGATTTTTCGGGTTAATTATTATTTCTCCATGACTTAATCATCGTGGGAGAATAAAGGTGTTGGAAGATTGGTGCTATAGTAAAGCATTGTTCAAGATCAGATTTGCTGAATTCTCTATGCATCATCTCAATAAAAATACAGATGATAAATGTTTAAGAAGACAGCTTGGCACAGTTTCAAATGTCAAAATGCACAGCATTTATTGTAATATCATCACAAACGTATTAGCAAAATTCAGACACAGTTTTGACAAAAATAAATAGATTTTTTTTTTGCCTTTTAAAGGCTTCATATTGTCACAGTAAAGTAAAAACACAACATCCTGATTAGTCAGTGTTGTCTTACAACACAGATATCGCACAGCCACTCATATGACATGAGCTCAAATGTTAATTACACATTACTGAATAGCTGCTACCACATTCAATAACATTTCACCTTGTGCTGCCTTACGCAACCAAATAACGAGGTTGTATTACAAAATAAACGTTACTTACAAAACGGACTACTTAACAGGATTAAAATCACACACTTTACCATAACACAACCATTGAGAAAAGTGTTCCCTCTGTTGAGTTGTGATTCAATCAGAGACTTCATAGGCACTTTAGAAGTCAGGCCTCACAGTTATACTGTACAGTATTTTCAATAAAACTATCAGTGTGGTGCAACACAACTTTAAAATATCATCTGCTTTAAATGATTCCATGAACACATGAAGTATTTAATCCAGCTTTCTTCATCATGAGTGAGGTCAGAGGTTATGCTTGAATTTCAGTCAAGACATGCAGCCATTCGCTTTAGGTGGAACACAACACTTTGAGCATCTTTTTCCAAACAATATAACTTATAAATACATCGATTTGAGGTAATCAGATACTTCTGTTCCTTCGTTCTGCATTTTGGAGATGGGGCGCTGTTCACGTGCGCTGCAGTTTGTGCCTTTGAAACAGTCACTAGATTACCATGCCACAGCAGTCTAGGTATTTCACACAAATTTACCAGAATGCTACAAAGCTATATCACGAAAAACAGGTCCAAGACCTTTGCAGAAAAAGATGTACACTTGTATTAAATCTTCAATGCCATTAAAGTCTACAAACGTAGCTGGCCTACATCCCCCCCCCCCTCCCCACAATAAACCTACTCTATTGAGAGTTAACAAATAATAATTGAAAAACACATCTACAGTAAGTAGCACTGTGTGACATGCTTCTTGTAATCACGAACATGGGTATCTGCTGTAAATAAAGAGATGTCACTGTCAATAACGGTCAATGCATTTTTGCATTCAGGAATACAGATGCGAAAAAAGCAGCACAATCTGAGCATTTAGCTATCTAAGTCAGAAACGGTGGCAAATTAATAAAGTATGGAGATGCGGAGTAACACATTGCTGGTTTTGGTCTTTTCATTGAATTTGTTCACAATAAAAAGTACAAAATATCTTGTCCCTTAACAAGTAATTACATGAGAAACGTTTGATATTATAATATCACTTTTTATGTTATCTCAAACTCAGAAGAAAATGTCAGCATCCAAGATCAACACTTCACCTGTCACTGTGTTGACGTTCACTGGCCGAGGGGTTTTTCGGTCGGTGGTTGGACATTGTTGGTTGCATTGGAGGAGTTGTCACTTCTCCTTGCATTGTTCTCTATCCTGAGTGAGGAGGAGTTGAACGTGCTCCTCTTGAGGACTTTGTTTGCCAGAAGGCTGCAGGTCTTCCTGTACTGGTGACGCAACAGTGAGTAGACAAATGGGTCGCTTGCTGCCTTGGTGTAGGCCAAGCATTTGGACAGCACACCCCAGTGAGAGTTTATGGGTCCTGGGATGAAAAGCTCTACAATTCTACCTCAAACAGAGAAAACATGGGAAGAAAAGTCACATACAATTGATGGACAAAGTGCAGCTTCTTACATGAGTGAAATGGAAGAAATCTACAACACTTAATGAATCTCCACCAGTGCCTCAGTACTGTGAAAATGTCATCACTTCATTTCACTTCACTGAAATGTCATCACTATGTTCGGGAATCTGAACAGATGGCTGTGGCTTTTGTGGATTCTCAAGTTCTTGCAAATGATGATTTCTTTTTAAATTCCTATTACATCAAAATAAAGGCTGGACAAACCAGCAAGAGCATTTTTTTTTGCACTTGTTATTAACAGCAAGTGCAAACAGTGAGTGCACGTTATACTGTAAAGAATTAAGTAAAGATGTAGTAGCTTAAATATTTAAAATATTATCGTACACATACAGTAGTTACCACCATCTGTATTGCTGTACTTGATAAGCTTTTGATCATTAGCTGTAGTCCAATATCTCCTTGATGCCAGTTGTTAAAAATGTATTTTTAATCTTTTGATTCAAAATGAAGAAAAATGTACGAAACCTTCACATCTTCTGGTGACAGTATGGTGGTAAATATCTCTCACAAACATGGATTCTGCTCCCACCCACCCACACACACATACACATCCACAAACCATGCAGCATTATACATCGCTCGTCACCTTGTAATGACATAAGGCGTGAAGCACACCATAAATGTGCCGATGAATGTACTGATTTTTTTGGTGGCCCTCTGCCTCCTCCGCTTCTGTTCATCCAAGCATTTCTGGCGTACACTGTCAAAGCACACAGGTAAGATTATCTCCCTTGTATGCATTACCAGAGACATGCAAACATAATTAAGCAGTCAAAAGAGAAGACATATGAGGCAGACTTGAAGAGAACAGTACACTGTGCACTGTTATCTAAGACAATTACATCAGAGATTCTCACACTACAGAGATAAAAAGAAAATATACAAAGAGAGAGCATTTCAATTCTGTTACTAGGAATCAAATGTGGTTATTTTATTCAATCAAATGTCCAACATTTGATTACAAATTTTGATAGACATTATCAATATGATGGACAGCTTTATAACAGCTAGTGAATCTGTAAAGATTCTGTTTGATTTAAATAAATGCACTAAATAAAGGTTTTCTTATATAATCACAATTTGCTGACAGAATGATTTAACCTCCAAAGTATCCAAATGATTGTTTGACACACTGGATAACATAAATAACAATGGGTGGAAATGTTTTATTAAAAGACACATGTATTAAAAGGACAGGTGGATTAGAGCGAATGCATCTCTAATGCTTGTTTACCTGGGGTGGATATCCACAAGCAGCACCAGTGTCTGCATAGTGATGACGTCGATGCGTTTACAGTGAAACCTCGCAACTTTGAGAACTTTGAGATACGTTACACACAGCACGATCAGCGTGAGAAGGAAAGTGAGAGAGTGCAAAACCACGGTGAAAATGATGAACTGCGTCCCGGCTCCCTTCGCTCTCACACTGCACAGCGTGCACGATGCGTAAAGGTGGTTGTAGCCGACCCAGGAACGGCAGGTAGCCACCGTGGAGAAGCAAAGTGAATGTATCCACGTGTATCCTAGAGCTATCACTGCATCCCGGTGCCGTATTCTTGAGTGGTAGCTCAGCGGGAAAACCACCGCCACCCATCTATCGATGCTAAGAGCTGCCATGGTCAACATGGAGTTTGTGGTGAGAAAAGTGTCGAGGAAACCCACAATTTGACAGAAACCGCTGCCCCCGGGGTGGCCCGTGGTGATGAGCCCGATCAGAGTTAGTGGCATGTTGGACACGCTCAGCAACAGGTTGCAAAACGTCAAATTGAGAATAAAAAGGCCGGGTACCTGTTTGCGGATCTCCGGATTGTACATAAAGCAGATCAGCACCACAACGTTGGACAGCAGCGACACGACAATAATCCCCAAAACCAGCACAGAGGCAACTATGTCCGCTGCGTCCATCATGCTTCCTCTCAGAAACCCAGACTTTTGAAAAGTGCATCCATAGTCCTGATGCGAGCTGTCATCGTGAGTTGTGGACACAACGTATATGAGTCCAACAGATGAACATGCTGCTTACCCTCACCGGTATACGAACGTCTTCATTACACGAAGCTGCTCTTCCAGCAGCGTCGAAGATGGGGTTGTGGGAAATTCGCACAGAGACCGCTCACCTTGTTACTGTGGGGGAATTTAGAAGTCTTCTTTACTGGAATGGGGTCACAGTAGGAGGCTGGTTCTCTTGCGGCGCTGCGGTAGTTTTTTCAGTGGTCATGTCACTGGTCTCACACATCGGGGGTTCCTGCTGCGCAATTGCGCACTGACATGATGGACGGCTTTTTTTAAGGACAAAAAGTGCTTAAAGCAGTCGCTGTGTTTGAGCACTTACAGTCTATTGTCTTTTACTGCCAGCGTCTGAAGCACGCTGGTGCACTCGTTCAAAAATAGCTTTTTAGTGTAAAAATAGAAGTGCGACGCACGATTACGTGGCTGGTGGTAATGCTGATGTCATAAGCGTCACGTTGAAATCTGGAGTTTGGTAATGAAATGTTTTTGTGGGGTTTGGGGAAAAAATAGAAGCTTTAAAATATTTAAATAGCTAATTGAATGTTTTGCAAGTCAGTGTGACGAGATTAAATGGCAACACTATCATCACTTTATTAACATTTCACAGCAGATACACTTTTGCCCAGAGCTCAGAAATCGTTGCGAGAACTGAGTTACCGGAGCAGTAACAGCCCAGTGTTCAAAGCTTTACGTGGTGCTTTAATTGGACGCAGTGCAGCTGGATTACATCCAGGGTATTAGTCCATAGTGCAGCAGTACCACCAGTACCACCGCCTCTGGCACAAAACAGAACCGCGTGCATCCCCCAGCCCTGCAAAGGAAGGCACACTGTTAGAGATACTGTGTTTTCAATAGATCAGCAGTGTGTGTGTGTGTGTGTGTGTAGTGTGTGGTTAAAGATCTTGAATTAGAAGACATTGCGGTTCCTTCCTGTCTTCTTTACAAGATTGTTCAAGGTATATTTAAGCTTTACAATTAGAAATGCGTTTAGATTATATCTGAAGTTCAGCATTTAAAATGGTGATTTGGAAGTAAGGGAATAGTGAATTTATGATGTACTGTATACATCATTTGCCATCTTTGTGAATTAAAAAAAAGTCTTGTTTGAGTTCAGAAAAGCACATAGGTATTAAAATATAGAAAAGATGACCCACATAAATGCTTTCTTGTTTATCAATGGTTGTAAATAATGGCAACATTTTTACATAAAGGTAGATCAAATTGATTTCAGTGAAGATTTAGAGGTTTCAAAAAAATACAAAGGAAATGTGAAAAAGTGCACAGTAGAGTTCCGCTTAGTACCTATATTATGCTGATAACAGTGCACTATAGGTCTGTACAGATATCCTTCACTACCCATACATTTGAAATATTATTTTACTTTATCGCGGTCCCTCACTATCACTAATATATGTGTGATAGTTCTTTTCTATCTATCCAAAGTAGTTCAAATGCAACATGATGCCTACTTTTGAATGCAGAAAGTTCAGCTTCAGACATACAACAAAGAATTAAATATTCATGCAGTGTCCTCTTTTCATTTCAGTTAACAGCCAAACGAAAAAAAAAGAAAAGATAATGACACGTTTAGGCTACAGCAGTCTTTGCAGTGAAGCACAAAGTTAATGGCTCTACAGATTTACCCTATTATGTGAAAATGTTCACACTGAATAATATGGCACAAGGCTGACAACTGTGCAGAGCACTGAAAGGGAAAATATGGTGTATTCTTTACAAATCACTAAGTGTAACTAGATCAGACTAATGAAAGTGGTGAATAATGAGTTGCAGTGATTATATGTTGTATGTGTTTTGATACATGCTAAATCTTATGTCAAGGGTGAATCAGGGAGGTCAGACAACGAGAACATTAACCCTCTGATGCATGAATTATGAAAGCCTTGGTCAAGATTTTTTTCTTAAGTGCTTTTATTCTTCTCAGGACATGAAAAAAAATGTTCAACTCTTTTTTCCCCAAAAATATGTTTTTTTATAAAGTTATAAACTTGTCCACTCCAGTGGACTACATGCGCCTGAGCACTTAGCATGAAATACTGTGAATTTACTATAAAAATTAATTACCTTGTGTTCTATTGTAAATATACAAACACTTGTTTGCTTGTATCCTTTGAAAAACATCTCAGCAATTTTTTTGGAACTTTCAACTCATAAGGCCCCAATGTTTAGACGTAAATAACAAAACCAATCAACAGTCCTAGCTGTGAATCCTACACCTGAATATGGCAAACTATCTCCAACAAGAGAAACATTTTTGAGTCTACACAGTTCTATAACGATGCAGGACAGTATTACCAAGCCCTTAGTAGCATGCTGGAAGAAAACACAAACTGACATCTTAGTCTCTGCATCTCCAAACACTTCTGTGTTCATCACACCTAGGCTGTCCGTAGTTCCTATGTCTCTGTTCTGCTCTGGCAGCCACTCTCATCATCACTGGACTTATCACTGAACTCCTCATCACTGCACTCATCAATGAAATCATCATCACTGGAGCTGGATGGAATTTCCTGGACTATTCTGTACGCTGCCTTATTCTTTGCTGCATTTGAAGTCTACAAAATATGATAAAATAATTATTATAGTAACTCAAACTACAGCTGATCTGCACAGAAATATACATTTTAAATGAGTAGCTTATAAATGTAACAATTATATGCTTACTTATAACCAAAACAGTCCCAAAAAACAGTGAGACAATTTATGACTTATGTTAAAAAAAATATAGTGGGTAATGCATGATGTCCACTACAGTGGACACATGGTTAATCGTAGTTTTCTACATATTAGACATAACAATTTCTTATTCCAAACAGATAATATCCTTCCCTAGATGTTACTGCATATCATCATATTTTTTTTACCTGTTGGGCTCTTTTAGCATAGAAGGATTGACAGGATATGCCAGCAGTGGTCGGCAGGGGTGACAGTTTGTCTGCCATCTTTGATTCAGAGGAAATTTACTTGCAGTTGCACTAACTGAACACTGAATTGACCTCAATGGAGCATGGCAGCAGAGAGCACTCTAGAGGCTAATATGCAGTTCCACCATAGAAACCAATGCATTAAAGAGATATGTACGTTTTAGTAGCTGTCCACTCCAGTGACCACTATGCATCAGAGGGTTAACATCTTTGTCATGCTGCAGTTACTGTGTTGTATTAAATTGCTGTTACAATCTGAAAAAAAAAAAACCAATCTCACACTACAAACCTGTAGACTGTTCATGTGACAAATGTAATTTGTGACCATCGCATCAATATTAGTCATATAGCAGTTTCTATTTTCACATATCCTTTAAATACACAGTATAGAGTCATTAACCACTGTCGCCATCCACCACACATGTGAGCTCTTTGAACATTTCAATTAACCTGTTCAGTGAGACCGGCACAGTAAAGGTGCAAATTAAAATTACTAATTTCCACAAAAATCATTTAACTCAGATTAGCTTCAGGGCCAAAATTAAAAGCTTGGATTTGATGTATGGTGTTTAATTGAAAAAGATTTCCCCACTGTCCAGCTACAAGGTGAGAAGCCAGTCTATTTGCTAGAACAGTGGTCACATGTGCAGCTGTCTAGCCATCTTATAAATTAAAGGTAATGACAAATATCTAGCAGGGCACTGATTTTTTAATTAATACCACAGAGAGAGAAATTTTTAACTTTTTCATACAGGAGCAGATGGTAAGTCCACAAAGAACATCAATTCTCCCTGGTGCTCCCAAAGCCAAGATAAAGTCCAACTTCATTTTCTTACACAGACTGAGTTAATGAGGTGAGAGGTTACAGCTCCAAATGGCCACACAAAGAATCACCCAATGGTCTCTGCAGACACTAGAAGTCAGAAGTAATTTCTAAAACCTTTGATTTAGTTCAATTTTCTTCATTTGTGTTCAGACTGACCAAAAAAACACAAAGGATTAAATCCATGCTTTCATTTTGTTTCTGTTTGAAAATACCTTTCTCTGGCGCCATCCAATGGTAGGAATAGAAAAAGACACCACGACCAGACAGCGTGAACACAAGATGAGCGTGCTTCAAGCAACAGGTAGATGGCTGTGTGTGTTAAATCATTTTAAATCTGCTGTAATACACAAACAAACATTAAAGCAGCACAACTGAAACAAAAGTCGCTCTTGTGTTGACAAAGTGCTTCACAATGTTTGGCTCTTCCTTGCTGGCGTGTTCAGCCGCATTAATGCAGGTGTCTTCATTCATGCTAAGGTCGCATTTGACCTGATAATAATAATGCCCCTGGTTTCGGAAGGCTTGGTTAATCATTGAGTAATATGCTAACGCACACCAGAAGTTTTCTCGTGTTTGCTGCCGATATCTGTCTCTAAGGTCTTTTCAAATGAGTCGTTTAAGTGTCTGTTGCTGTTTAGATGCAGTTTGTGATTGGTTAATGGCTTTGCTATGTTTTCAGGCGATGTGGTGCCTGTTCAGTTGTGTGCGCATTCAAACTGTGTGATTGTTGCTATCCACAGTGGTCAATTCTCAATTGTTATCTTCTTTTAAATATTGGCTTTTGCATCCTGCTTGATCGCTAGATTTATATAATATTACTGTTTTTAGAGATTAATATAAGGATGAGGCCTGGTTGCAAATACCGTGTTTGGTTCTGAATGTGTCGCTCTCATGAACTTACATTAGTATTTTGGACATGTATGCCTTCTCACCCAGTATTATTGAGTTCCATCTCGGATGAGAGGGGCTTGCTGGCATTCAAATCACAGTCTGGAGTTCATCCACATAGGTTGGATGCATCACAGTGTAGAATATTAATTTTGAATTTGAATAAGGTCAGTATCCAGCGACAGCAAGCTTAATGCCACATGGGACACCGTGATTTAAGCCTGTTCTCATCAATTTACGTTCTCTGCAGGCGGCCTTGTTTGTTTTCGTGTAGTTATATGAATCGACTAATTAAAACTGACTGTGCCATTGGTTTGTCTGCTTAGCTGGACATCTCCTGTGTCCATCTGCACAGTTACTGCTTCGTCACACCGAACATGCTACTGGCTAAAGGAAAAAAAACTTGATGACCTTTAAAGGAGAATCATAACATTTCCCATCTCTGTATATTTTTAGGTCAGTTACTCAGTACACCTGTGCTCCCTCTCAGTGTGCTGCCTTCTTCAGATGTTGGATTGCTTTCATGTTGAATTTACACTTCATGCAAAGCTCTGGTTTTAATATTGGCTAAACCTCAAATGGCTGGTTGTTTCTTGGCTGTACATAAATTGTTGCAGCCATTCCAGGCTCCGTTAATCATACCCATCGCCCATCTGCTTTGATGTCCTTTCTCTGGTAATGAGTGTAACATCGCTG